AATGTATTTTTTAATTATGAAGTCATATGAGAAATTAAAAAAGTTGACCTTAATTTTAGCATTAAAGTCAAATTTTATTTTTTCTATTTTTATTTTTCTATGTAACTTAATAATTCAAATTTTATTAGAAAAACCCTTTTTTGAATGAAATATCCGTATAACATAACAGAAATTCTCTCCATGCTAAGAACAAAGCTTAATTCACTCAAACCATAGAATTAATTTTTAGCAATTTCAGTTATTGGAATGGAATGACATGACGGATAATGATTGATACACCCTTTGATTTAACATACTATACAACGTATTCCAGTTGAACCATTAAAATTTACCTTTGAAAAATTTCCCATCAAAAATTCAAATTTAAAAATAATAATTTTTTAATGAGTATATTTTGAAGTATGTTGAATTGGAGGGTGTATCAATCATTTTCTATGACAATATTGCAAGGGACATGAATAATATCACATGTCAAGAATTACTTGATGTTATTAACAAAGTAATGTGCTACTGTAGCTTTTGTTTAATTCAAGTTTTCTAAATATATTCTCTTGAATCACGCCCCATGCCATGGGGAACAAAATGGAAAGTTATTTATCATATCCAGCTGGAAGAATAGTCTGAAATGAGAAGTTCCATCCAAGATTAATCAGGCATCCAATGTGAATATACTACATATAAAATATATCAAACTACCCTCTATTACTTAACAATTTTATAAAACTCAAATCCTATGTTTACAATTTGATGTTATTATTCATTAAAATTTAAATAATGCTCTTGAACATCAAGAATAGTTGTTTATATTAATTAAAGATTACTTTTAACTGATAGAAAGAAAGATGAAAAAATAAACATTAATTGAATGAAAAAACGTTTAATGTTGTTCATTCACAAAATGTTTACTAATAACTTCTTGTTTTGCTTCTTTTAATTAGTAGTGTTCTTTTACTCATTATATATGTTCATTTTGTCTTTGAATTGAGTGGCATTTATATTACTTTATCAACCACTATTAATTTATCACTAAAGACTACTACAATTTTTAATTATAATAATTTTTTTAATTTTTTTCTCTTTTATTGATTTTTTAGTTTATATACGGACACATCATTCCTTAGTTAATATTTCATTTTGCACCCTAAAAAATATTTTTGACTCCATTACTGGTCTTGTCACATGTAAGTTGTATATTAGATGATATCAAAAAGTATGCAATGGAATTAGCAAATCCAAAATCCCATTAATTTTAGGAATGATTATAAATTTTTCTTGTAACTATATATACATATAAATTTTTGTTTAGAAT